CTTATCCCCAGGACAGAATTTGATTCTCCTTAAAGAATCTCATCATAACGGTCAGTTTTGTAAGTAGGTGCCTCAAGTACTTCCTGCGAGTAGGTGCAGTATAGGAACCAGTATGCACAGAGGAAGGCAGTGAAGACAGTGGGACTCTGAAGCTGTTGGTCATGGACCGGGTGAACACGGGTTGAACCTGACCGTCTGTCCACTCCCCAGCACTGGGAGATTCTTACACTGTATTGGAATTGATGGTTAAAGGAAATAGTTGGAAGGCAAGGTCGTCCTTGCTGTAGCAGGAAGGAGACTCCCAGACACCCTTAGGCCGGGCGAGAATGTGAGCAGGCAGTGATATCCAAGAAATCAGCGAGCGAAGAGCAGAAGTTCAGCACAGAGGGCGTAGTGTCTCTTTTGTGTTTGGAAAGGAAGTCTATGTGTGTAAGTCTGTGAATAAATGCACGACAAAGGGTTGTCTGAGTGGGGGAATTATGAGCCGTTTTGGTTTTCTTCATGACATCTTACTGTTTTTAAAAGCCTAGTAAAAACTTAAAAGAGAAATGAAAAACAGACCGAAGAAAGATTCAGACCGTTCTGATTCTACAGAGCAATGACTTCAGCTCTGAGTTTCCTGGCAGCCAAGGCAAAAATCGAAACAAAATGGGCACAGGGAAGTGTAGAGGACATGGGACACTAGGCCTGCCCACGAGCTGCCAGGATGTTGGGCTTGATGACATGGAGACGGCCAGTGTCCCTCAGCCCTCGTCAGCAAAAGAGTCCAAAGCGGACGGAGGTCCCGAGTCCAGTAAGAGAAGTGTGTGACTGTGCGATTTATCCGTGATGGCGCGTCTGTGTACGTGGAAAGCTGTGCCACTCTTCTTTAACGTACAAAAGTACGTGCTCACCGTAAGAGGTTCCCTGCGCTGGATCTCCAGGGTGGAAAGCAGGAGAAGGCCGGGTCTCCCCCTTCACGCTGGCATGCTTGTCCCCAGGCACCATCACTCACGGGGGGGGGGGGGGGGGGGGGGGGGGGGGGGGGGGGGGGGGGGGGGGCAGAGGCAGTCTGCCATGGACACAGTGGGAGCTGCAGGCCTGCGGAAGCCCACGACGAAGCCTGTGACAGCCTGGCACCAGAGCCACCAGCCCCTTGTGAATTCCTCCTCGCGACTTTGTTTTGTACGAGGCGGAACCATTTCGCTGTCACAAATGACCGCTCCTTCAGGGCGCATTTGCGTCTTCCGTTTTGTCTCCATTTCCGGGGCCGTGCGTTAATTATCAGTTAATTATCAAACTCCTGGGACACCGGGCTGTGCGTAAACCAGACGGTGTGCCAGCACGGCCGCCCGAGTCCCCACATGAGCAGGACAGGCCCTGCTGCTGTGTCTGCGGCTTTCTGTGTCCCGGGACTGCGCGTACAAAGCCGGTCCCCTGAGTGGCCAACCCGTGTGTTCCTGCCAACACCCCACACGTAGCACCTGCAATCCCGGGAAGTTTTCCCTGTTTGTGGGGGTGAATCTTTTGCCAGTGCGGTCGGGGGGGGGGTTCGTTCTTCAGCTTGGGGAGGAGGGAAGAAGGACCTTGAGGCCTACGGTCCTCTTCTGCGTCAGAATAAGTGAGCTCAGGGGTCCTTTGGTCTCAAACCGCCTCCCAGGGACCACCCTCCCTGCGGACGGACGGACGGACGGACAGGCGCCCTGACTTCCCTCTCAACGGGCCTTGATCCACGCTCCTGGGGGCGTGTGGCCATGATGGTGAGCGAACAGCAGCAGAGCGTGTTGTTGGGGTGGTGCCTCCCGGACGGTTGTGAGCTGATTGGGTTAACCCCTCGGGTCCGGAAGCTTCTGTAGGATTGGAGGGGGAAGATGCCACGGCTGGTTTTAGTTGGCATTTTCCCTTCCGGGGCCGCAGGGGCCCCCTCGTTTCTGGAGGCGAGGCTGCCCCTGGTGGCTGCGGGGAGCGGCACGTGCTTGTGATTATTCACACCCGTCCGGCCTCGTCCGTTGGTGTGGCTGGTGGGGGGTCACCGCATCTGCCGGCGGGAGGAGGCCTTTGGCTGGTTCAGCCGCTCCCTTGGCAATCGCCTTGGCCGGGGGCGTGGGGGGAGGGTGTGGCCGAGGCTGGGGCCTTGATCCCTTGGGATGTTAGCTTTGCTGCACCCCAGGGCGAGGGCCAGCCCGGGACCCCGCCACACAGGGGGAGGTAGCTGCCTGGTTTCAGGGTCACCTCTGATCCGCCCGCCCTCACCGCCTTGCACGTCCCCCGGGTTTCACCAGCTACTCAGCTCTGTCCACACGGCTGGTGCCTCAGCTCAGGCCTCCGTTGCTAGGACTGTCGCAGTTTTCTCCCACTGCTCGTGCTGCCTCTGTTTTTCTCATTGAAGAGCGGCCCGGACCCCTCCGGACCGTCTTTCTCGTCTGTCCCAGACCACCCCGTCCTCCTAAAGCGTGGACTGTGCTTCCTACCATTCAGTCAGGGGACCTTCCCCCGAAGCTCCCACTGACCTTCCCCGGCCCCTCCGGCATCCTCACTGCTGGGGTCGGCGCCCCTGACTTCCCGGGGTCCCTGTCGGGCGGGCCCTGCAGGAGTGGTGTTTCTTGCCTGCTGGTGCGGGTCGGAGGCGGGTGCACGGGGCCCCCACTGGAAGGGGTGCTCCTGGGGCGGGCGCTGTCTAGGTCACATCTGCCCCCGGCTTCCCAGAGCCGCCCCTCTTCCTGGTTTCTGAGCCTCAGCCGCGTCTGCAGACGGGCATTAACGTTGCGGAACCGTCCGAATCGTGTTGCCGTCAGGCCCGCGTGGGCGTCTGTCCGGGCAGCCAGTCGGGACCCCTTCTCCTCGGGGTGACTGAGCACGTCTGCCTCCCTGCAGGTGTCTGGGCGCACGGTGACTACTGCAGAATCAACCCCAAGACCGGGGGCATCGTCATGCTGGGCCGGAGGTGAGGGGTCTTCCCGAGGCATCGAGGCAGGGACAGGAGGCAGCCTGCGTCTGCTGCCCGAGGACCGGGGCCGGGCCCGATCCACGTTTCCGTGCCCCAGGGTGGGGTGGGAGGCCTGTGGCCAAGGCGCGGCCAGCGTCCGTCCACAGTAGCAGCCGCCCTTTCAGACCTGGGATGCGTGGGTATTGGGCACATGCCACACCTGTGCAGGTGGGAAGGGACAGGTGTGTTCACACAAAGGGGACTCCCTTGTTGTCTGGCTTTTGGTTGAGAGAGAGAGAGAGAGAGAG